TTTCCTATTCTGAAAGCGTAGTTTCTCTATATTAGTTTCAGAATACGTTTTCTCTTTCTGGAAAGCGTAGAATTCCTTTGTTAGATTCAAAATACGTTTTCTTCTTTTGAAAACGTAATTACTTCGGTTAGATCTAAAATACGCTTTCATCTATTTATAGTTTTGCCACTATTTTCTTTAGGCCATAACTTCTCCATTTTAACTTCGATTTGACCCATTCAAGTTGCGTTAGATTCGTAATTGAGTAATCTACATGTTCATCCTACTGTTAAACATGTTTCCAACTTTTGAAATTTGATGTTAGATTTAATATATTATTTTATTAAAGGAAATCTTGTTTAATTCATAACTTCTTCGTTATAGTAATGTGTAGAACATCTTTAAAACCTTTTTACTTGTTGTTTATTATATTTGATGTACTCTTCTAATCTAGCTCTATTGTATTTGACCCGTTCAAGTTGCGTTATATTCGTAATGACGTAATCTATATACTAGTGGTATTGTTTAACAAGTTTAAAGCTTTTGAATAAAAATAGTAATCTGATTAATCTATATGTAATTAGTTTTCAATTAATCTATTCCATGATGGCTCTCGATCTGCCAAAGTGGGTGTTAAAAGCCATTGAGAAGAGGAGAAGGGGGTTTCTTTGGAAGGGTTAGGAACAAGCCAATGGGGGCAATTGTTTGGTGTCCTGGGAAAGAGTACAGCGGCCTCTAGAGTATGGAGGATTGGGGATTCCTAATCTAGAAACCCTTGGCTGGGCACTACGGGTTAGATGGTTGTGGGCTCAAAAATCCGATCTTTCTCGGCCTTGGACTGGATTCCAAATTCAGGTTCCTCATAATGCCGAGGCATTGTTCAAGATGGCAGTCGACCATATTGTGGGAAATGGTGCTTCCACCCTCTTTTGGAAAGACAGGTGGATTGATGGACAAACTATAGAGGAAGTGGCTCCCAACCTGTTCAAGGCCATCCCTAAAAGGATAACTAGAAGACGGACAGTTGCACAAGCTCTTGTCAATTGAAGTTGGGTTGCAGACATCAAGGGTGCTCTCTCAGTTCAGGTTCTATTGGAATATCTTCGGATTTGGGATCATGTTGAGGGAGTTGTCTTGCAGCAAGAAGTTCCAGATCAAATAAGATGGAAACTCTCACAGAATGGAGTATATAGCAGCAAGTCGGCCTATGCTGCATTTTTTGTAGGAACTATTAAATTTGCTCCATGGAGGAGGATATGGAAGAGTTGGGCGCCTCTCCGTTGCAAATTCTTCATTTGGCTAGCCATCAACAATAGATGTTGGACTGCGGACCGCCTTGCCAAAAGAGGCTTGCCTCATCATGAAGTCTGCCCTCTTAGTGATCAGGAGGAGGAAAACATTCAGCATATATTGGTTGGCTGTGTTTTTACAAGACAGATTTGGTCCCTGATCCTCCAACCTCTTCATATGTCAGACCTAACTCCCTCAGCTTCTGAGACTCGTTTTTCCTTATGGTGGAAGAGGGCTCTGAGCGCAGTCCTGAAGGGGATAAGGAAAGAACTTAACTCACTAATTATTTTGGTTTCCTGGGACGTATGGAAGCACAGAAATTCTTGTGTTTTTGAGAATGCTAGACCTAACATCTCCTTGCTGCTACAGACAGTGTCTGATGTGATCAACATTTGGGGGATGGCTGGAGCATTTAAGCTCCAGGAACTCCTGGTGAGGTCGCAGGCCCCAACAGCCTAGGTCTGGGGGTATTTGGTCGAGGTCGTGTTTGTGTCTGTGGCGCGTATATAGGCCTCTTTTTGTAGAAGTGTGGGGGTGTGTTCTTGGCTGGGGTTTTAGTCCTTAACCGGACTTTTGTACTATCTTTTCTCTCTTAATGAAATCACATGTGACTCTCCTGCGTTGTTCGAGAAAAAAAAATTAGTTTTTCAACTGAAAGCAATTAGGGCTTTTCACCTCTGTCTTTTGTAAATAAAATAAGATTAATCTTATGTTGGTTTTCTAATACAAATATAATTTGGCTTAAAATAATTTAGATATTTCTCTGAAGTATCTTATATATGTTTTATAATTAAAATAAATAAAGCCTATAGTTTCTTTTCGAAGCAAATCTATCGGTAGATGCATCTTTTTCACCGTAGCTCCGATTAGAATGCTTTTCGCGTCTGTGTGTTCGTAGTAACATGTAAAACATCTTTAAACCCTTTTTACTTACTATTTCACTATTTCATATGTTTGTTGTACTGTTCTAATTTAGTTCTATTATTTGCTTCGTGTATGATTGCATGGATGCTTGTTTGGTGTTCTATGATCATGTCCAGTCGGTGAGCTATACGTGGTGAATCAAGAAGCAGATCTATGAAGGTTTGGACTGGAAGAAGGATCTAAGTTTAAGACAAGTATAGCATGGGATCATCCTTGTTGTCCTATACACCTTTAATCATTTAATTCATACTGCATGTGTCTACCTTGATTACCACTAAGGATTTCCTAGTACTTTGTTACTTTCACTACACCACAACACCAAGATTAGCGATGGATGATTTGACGCTAAAAGCGGCTACAGCGACGAACTGACGCTAAAAAGTTACAGCGACAGACTTACGCAGACGCTGTAAGTCCTGTCGCTAAATATCTTTAGCGCCAGATGGTACTTTTAGCGACAGATAGTCTGTTGCAGTGAATATTTACAGCGACAGATAGCGTGTTGCCACTCTTTAGCGACAGATAATCTATTACCACACATTCATCATCAGATCATCCAACACTCCATACATTTACGGCGAAAGACTGTTCAATAGAACAATTTAATATAGAAAAAAATATAATCTTTAGCATATATCAAAACGATATTCAATGCTCATATTGTGTCCACATGTCACATGAAAATACACAAACACATATCACATGCAACTCAATACATATAACATCCAATTTGTCTTGTACATTACATCCATCAAAGTCAAGCACCAAATGAATTTGTCTTGTACATCAGTATGGAACAAGATGAAATACAGTAGAAATCAACGTATATATGTAAACTCACTCCTTTAGCTGCAACAATCATCAGCTCAACTTTTTATTCACTCATCACTCTGTGGTCTGTCTATAATAATAATTCACCCGTTTCCTTTCCTTTGCGCCGGCCGCAGTCCCCAGCCATGGTCCTAATCCTTACCGGTAGCTGCGGTAGGTGGGGTGTACATGCAGCTCTCCGCATACTTGACGAGGTCGTCGGGGCGTGGCAGGCGCCTGGCGAGGCCGAGCTCATAGGCCTTGGCGGCCACCTTGGCAGCGATGCGGGCCGAGATGGCGCGGATATTGGTGAAGGGCGGGAAGATGAGGCCCTTGGCAAAGTGGTCCTCCGTCACCTGCTCCGCCAGCGCCTCGGAGGTGGCCAGCAGCATGTCGTCGCGGACGCGGATGGTGCCCGGGATGACGACGCTGAGGCCGAACCCAGGGAAGATGTAGGTGTTGTTGGACTGGCCTAGCACCAGCGTCTTCCCGTCCAGCTCCACCGTCCGGAACGGGCTGCCGCTCGCGAACACCGCACGGCCCTGCGTCCACGTGTAGGCCTGCTCCGCCGTGCATTCTGAGTGCGATGTCGGGTTCGACGGCGCGAAGATCACGGGCTTCTCGTTTAGGGAACCCATGGCTTCCACCACGTCCTGGGTGAAGGTGCCGCCCTTGCCCGAGGAGCCGATCAGCACCGTCGGCTTCAGCAACTGCACCGCCTCCAGCAGCGTCGCCACGGGCTCGTGCTCATGTGCCCACGGCTTCTTGAATGCCTGCAGCGAGTCTATCCGTGATGCCACGATCAGGCCCTTGGAGTCCATCAGCCAGATCTTCGGGCGGCACTCCTCGATCGGAGACCCAGTCTGTTTTGGCATCTCGAGAGCAATGAGCTCCGCAATGCCAGTCCCGGCCTGCAAGCAGACAACAAAAGCGTGTCAATTTCACCAAGAAAAGCAGCCCGTGCTTGATCCAAAAACTTTGAGAAAGAAGAGGTAAGGTAATTAACACTGTTGTAGTATATAATGTAGATCAAACCATATAATCGCAACTGACCTCGCCGGCACCGAGGAACAGGTAAGTGTGGTCTGCAATCGTCCCGCCGACCACCTTGAGCGCCGCCAGGAGGCCTGCCAGGACCACGGAGGCTGTTCCCTGCAACAATTACACCCGCATCATTTTGTTCATTCATCGGCACAGTATAGAAAGAAAAGGACGAGTACAAAACAGGCAGCACCCCCTGTTTCTGAACTTGGCATCCATGGACCAATGGACCATGGTGCTACTGTCAACACACAGAGCTGCATAAGCTACCTGGATATCGTTGTTGAAGACGAGATGGCTCTCCCTGTACTTCTCCAACAGGTCAAAAGCGTTGTGGTTCGCGAAGTCTTCGAACTGCACGTCACAGGTCAACAAGAACATCGCATTTCAGATTCAGGAGTTGGCAGGAACACAGAGAAAGGCCAGCGGCAAAAAGGCGAAAACCAACAACAGCAAGTATGGTAGTGTCTGTGACTGGTCCACTGTGACCGACGACTGAGACTGACCTGGGTGAGGACCTTCTCGCCGTAGTTTTGCTTGACGGCGGTCATGAACTCTTCGAGAAGTTCATGATACTCCTGTATGAACCATCAATACAGAAAACACGTCTCAATCCAGATTCCAGACAAGAGATCGATTACAACAAATTCACCAAGTGCAGCTGCAGATGGTGAACAGAACAGCCCTGCAGATCAGATCAGTGGCTGACCTCTCCTGTGGCACGTTTCTGGTGGAGGCCGATGTAGAACTCGTCGTTGAGCAAGGTCTCGTTGTTGGTGCCGACATCGATCGTGATCGGCAGGCACTGCAGCAGAGTAATCATTTTCCATCTTCAGAGAAGGGGAAAAAAGAACACAGCAAATCGATTCCAATTCTTTCCTACTACCAGCAGTCCAGCAGTACAAGTTTATTAGGAGTAATAACACTGAAGAAGCGGCATTGTGAGCAGCGCTTACAGCTGAGGGGCGAACACCTCCGAGGGCAGTGTAGAGGGAGAGCTTGCCAACGGGAATTCCCATCCCCTGGCAACCGAGATCCCCGAGGCCAAGGATGCGCTTGCCGTCGGTGACAACGATGACCTGGATGCTCCTCTCCGGCCAGTTCTTGAGCACCTCCAGGATCTCAGTTGCACCAAATGAATTTGTCTTGTACATCCAATTTGTCTTGTACATCACAACCAATGAGGAACTAAACAACCAACCCCAAGCATATCAGTATGGAACAAGATGAAATCATCACTTCTATAGTAGTAAAATTGTGTATTACTCTATAAGATATAAAGTGTTATTCTCAAAACAGAGAAGGCCTAATTCCCTGAAATACATTTACATAAATATCACTTCGACAATAATACATCATTGGAAGCAAAGAAATAATGGATTTAACTTACTAATCTGCCGGCTACTAAATGCTCTAATTGATTTAACTTACTAATTTGCCAGCTAATAAATGCTCTAATTAATTAAACAAGAGAGAAATTAAACCAAAGGCTAAATAAGAAAAACAGCACATGCTGCTATTGATCTAGTGCTACTGTCAACACACATGCAAAGCATTCTATAAAGCTCAGTGCGACCGTTGAGCTGATGTTGTTGCTGCAATGTGAAGAATAGAGAGTTGACAAACCTGATGCTGTCAACTGTGATCAACTGCCATTGAGCTGCTAACATCCTTCATGCTACACAAGTGAGTAAAACATGTCTTCAATACAAAGGAGGCAGTGAAGATTCATGTTCAAAATTCAAACAGTAATGCAAGGTCATGGATTTGTGGTTCAGCAAAACTCTGGTGAATGGAACCATATAGTATAAACAGGTCTTAAAGTTACTACTAAATTTCAAGTTCGGGGCCAACATCACAGCCTCATCGGCAAGGCCCGCATCACTGCTGGGCACTGCTGTGAATCCCTGATCAGGTTCAGAGCTTCAAGAACAAGACGTAGTTGCTCCCCACTAGCACCTTGCTGCTTAACTAGTCTTGTACCCATACATGTGAGCATCATATGCTTGTGCTCTGAGAAAAAAAAGGAAGATGCTTGTGCTCTAAATTTCATTACCCAACCGATTCAATTTAACTAAACAGCTTTTGCTTGCTAATAAGGCCCGGCATCTGAAAATAATACTGCTTGCTAATGAGGCCCGACATCTGAAAATAATACTACTATTCTTTAACTAGACAATCAGGCTCCTTTTCACCTTAAAAACAGTACAAATATCAGGAAAAAGGTCAAGACACCTTTGTTTAGAAACAGTAAGCAAGGGACTAGTTTTGTCTTCCAAATATATTTCTATATGCTGAATTTAGTCACTAGGTTTTTACAATTTGTCACTAGTTTTGTACGCAGTTTGATGAATGTAAATTTAGGGACATACCTACAGTGCTCTTGAGAGGTCTAGATGCCTTGTTGCACTCCTTTTTCTTGCATTACTTTACCTATCACAGATAGGTTTAATTAAGAACATTGGTCATGCATCACACATCAAGGCAAAATGAAAATTATGTCAACTCACTACACCACAACAGGCCTTAGCTGAAAACAAATGTTCTGAAATATTAGTATTAGACTCCTACTGCTAGCACTAGTACACAATCACCATTCCAGGGAGTACGCCAGAGCTCCAAATTAGACTTATGAATTAAAACCAAAATGCATGAGGCATTGTAACTGTACTGAATAGAAGTCTAAAAGTCAAGATCACCTCAAAATACTAAAATGGCACACTGTACATAGAGTTGACACAAGATTACCTGATTTGGTAAAGTAATAATTTAGGTTGGTGCATAGTGCTCTCAGTAAATCAAAGATTCAGAGAAGCACTCACACTGCAGTAGCCAAGATGAAGAGATTATGCAACAGTCACACATAAAGCATTATAAGTCTAATATATCATATTCAATGGTTCAATGAAAAGATGTACCGCTATTTGTCTAGAATCATTAGCAGAGCATTATGGGGACATTGTTTCTACTTCTAGAATTAGTAATTCCTTGTCATTAGTGTCACCTTAGCATTAGTTCCAATACAAATTCTTGTAAATCATAATCACTAGGCATGCAGCAGCAGCGCGCCGGCATTTCGTTCCATGCAGCCACCGCGCCTAGGCCTGCTGCCAACATCTTCCTGCCCGCTTGCCCCATCCTAGGCTGCAGCACCCCGCACAGCGTGCTCTGCACCTCTGCTCTATGCTAGATAAATGGATTCATCTCATCCACGCGTAGTTTGCCAGAATCTCACCAGTGCCCCCCTGCTGGCTCGCCGGCTCACATCACAAAGAGGCTTACCAGTGACCAATTGAACATAGCATGGCCCTACACGAAGTGTCGACATAAAACTGGCTGTGACATAGAGTAGACAGTAACGTTCACTTATTATAGGCAATTAGTGAAACCAGTGTGGCAGGAGCTTAGGACATACAAGTTTACACATGTTTGCTATACACAATAAGGCTCTCTTTAGCAATATAATACAATTGAATACCAAATAAGAGAAAACCTCTCAAGTCCCTTTCGTTCCCATAGATCTCACCTGCCAGCAAAAAGAACAAATTAGATTTAGCAAGGAAGTTTCTACTTCCTAGCAATATAACAAGTGATCGTTATGGAAGTTTGCCATTATAGGAGGCTGATAACAGGATGCGCTCCTGCTCTTAGGGCAAGCTTACAGAAGAAACAGGAGACCAGGATCTCAATTGAGGTCTGCTAGGTCCCAGAAACAAAATACGTGACTAAATGAATAATAGCACTAAGATATAAACTTGCAATCAAAACTAAGCCAGACAGCAGAAATTATATGCAAATTCCTTTTCAGGCTATCAGGTAATCAAATGGTAACTGGAACTGCAAAACATAGGCAAACTGAAGCCAACGCTAGCAAACTGCTATTACTGTCAGTATGCCTCAAGGGTCGTACAACCTATGATGATTTTATTGGGTGAAAGCACAGAAATAGAGGCAACACAATTTTCAGTAAGTATGAAAATATTAACCAAGTGCTAACTTTGACCACTAAACAAGCTGCGGTTCAAGAGAGCAATCAAATAAATACTTGATTAAGTTACTGCAACCCCACAAGCATATTTGCCAAGCTATCTAAATCAAAAATCAAGACAAGAATGGAGTTAAAAATCTAGTGATTGAATAATAAGATAAAGCATAACTTGAGCCAATGAAACTTGTATTAGAAAATAACCTAGGCTGCCGCTGTTGCACATGAACCAAGCACAGAGGAAAAGTTGATCTAGTTGAGCTACTGCTGCACCCCTGCTGCCGGCCTGTAGATCTGTAGACCAAACGGTGACTGACGGACTCCAGAAAAGAATAGAGATCCAAGAGGACCAAAGCTGTGAGTTGAAGAACAAAACAGAGATCGGCATGTTCCTCTAACCTGCAGCAACGCTCAAAGGATCCTATGAGCACACAACCACTGCCTTCACCTTTCTTGCAGAGTGGATGCCGTGGCCGCTGGAGGTGGGGATTCCCAGCCTTGGGGAAGGGACGGAGGGGAAGACGGGGCGGAGAACGGTGGAGGTAGGCGGGGCTGGCGATGTTGGGCTTCCTCCATGGAACACAGCCCCAATACTTCCCATAGCTCGACACGAGTCGATGTAGGCACCGCTGCCAGCAATGGAGGGCACACCGCGGATCCGGCCGAGGGGAGAGGAAGGAAAGCCCCCACTACGTGGATCCTCCCGCAGCCCGCCACGAGTCGATGGAGGCGCCGTTGCCAGCAATGGAGGGCACGCCGCGGATCCAGTCGGGGGGAGAGAAGGGCAGCCCCCACAACGTGGATCTGGCCGAGGAAGTTGAAGGGAGGCCGCCCTAGCGTAGATCAGACCGCGGGAGTTGAAAGGAGGTCGCCCCGGCATGGATCCGGCCTTAGGAGAGGAGGGCGGCGTGAAAGGTCCTTGTTTGGTTTTGGTAATTGAGTGACAACCTAGGTGGACTAATTGTGTTTATGTGAGATACACAGGTGATTAGTCCACAGGTACATGTGTGTGAGCAACATATGCCATGAAGGTGACAATGGCTTGGAGATGTTGCAAAACTCACACATGTGATGATGAAGGAGCTCATTGCACATGAGACATGACATTGAGTCATGTGATCAAGGTGGAGAAGATCAAGACAAGACTTGGCTTGATAGACCAGTTGCAAAGCATGAAGGGCAAGTCGGAGGCTTTGGAGTGATGGACCGCGTGGCGGTGAAGCTTAAGCAAGACTTGGCGCCGATGGACGATGGCAACGGTGAAGAGCAAGTGAAGTTAAGATCGATGAACCAATATGATCACGTGATGATATGAAGTGGACCATATCATTGTTGATCGCGTTGGTGCATGTGTTGCATCGATATTGGAGGAGATGGAATGGAATGCGCAAGGCAAAGGTATAACCTAGGGCATTTCATTTCACCGGTCATAGGTGTGTAGAGAAGTTTATGACCGGGTTTAGGATAGATGGCCGTACTATCAAGAGGGGCAAACTTGTTTGCATATCGGTCATCTAGTGTCACTCGAGTGATCTAACTTTGCATCGTTGCTAGGATCGAGTGGCGTGGCAAGTTGAGTGGCTAATCCTTTGGAAAATGATTGTGAAAATGCTAACACACATACACATGGTGGTGTACACTTGGTGGTGTTGGCACATTTACAAAGGAGGTGGTGTTTGCTGGGTTGAGATGGGTTTGGGTCGCTTTCGGGAAAATGGAATGCCTATTTTCTATTGTGCCGGATGAAAATTCTTGTGGTTGGCACATTGGAGCAAGGGTGAAGAAGTTAGAAGTGAAAACGAGTTGATCGCGAAGACGCTGGCATCGGTCTACTGACCGGACGCTGGGTCTGAAAGCACCGGACCCTGGCAGCATGTGTCCGGTCAAACTGACGGGTCTGCGCAGTACTGAGGGTATTGCACCGGACGCTGATCTGTGTCCGGTTAAAGTGGACCGGACGCGTCCGGTCGAAGAAATACGCCTCGGGGACCTTACTGGAAACGACCGGACGCTGGGGTTGCTGCGTCCGGTCAGTTCATGCTGGAGCGTCCGGTCGACAGATGATCGTTGAGATCCAGTGAACAGCATTTGAAGGAAGGGACACGTGGCGTGCATCGCACGACCGGACGCTGAGGTCCAGCGTCCGGTCGATCGTACCGGAGCGTCCGGTCTTCCCGACATTTGCCC